CCTTTGTTTGTCCACTCTCAACTCTCGAGAAAAAAAGAACACGTGCTCGAATGGAGTTCGTCATATAGCCGCGCGTTGCATGTTGGTAAAATGACTTTCAACCAACATGCTTTGCGGCTCTAGCAAGATTGAGATTTTGAGTAGCTGTACGATTTTAGTCTGCTACCTTGCTCGCTCGCTTAATGTTCACTCGCTGCGGCAGCAATGAAGTCTTCGCTCATTTACAGCAGTAATTTTTGTCCATGTCTGCCAACGCCCAACGTGTATTTTTTTATTAACAAGTTTAGTACTTTTGTGTTTGTTTTGTGTTGTTTTTTTTAAAAATATGTACAGTAATTAAGTTGTTGTAGTGTGAAAATAGACAGTGCTGTCTAAAGCCCGCTTGAATTTTTGCACTCTGCTGCCCCCCCCCCTGACTTGCAGCTTTAATATTCATATTTCATATATTTTTTATCTAGGCGTATGTCAACCTGGCGTCCCGCTCTTTGATCAGGTATAGCATGTTGACTATACGGATGTAGTTACACTAATTACAAATCTTTGTTTTGTCTTAACTTCTTCAATTTCAGAAACGTTCTTTCACAGGAGTATTCAATGTGTTTCAGTCAATTTCGTTTTCGGAAAGAAATTTTAAGCCACCAAGTTGATATTATCTGGCGAAATCGATTTTTTCACAAACTAGTTGGGGGCCGGACTACAAACCTGAACAAAACATCTGCGACACTTCCAATTATTTAAATTAACCAACTTTCGTATAATAATATCGCAAATTTAGAATAACTTCCCCCTTACCCCCACCATTCGATGTTAATTGCATTACCTGCAGAAAACGGTTGCAGCAATTGCAATATACGTCCAATATTGTTTTGGAGGGACGGGGGGAGGATAAATTATTCCGGTCCAATTGTAAAAAAGCCACAAGGATTGTAGGTTGCACTCGGAACGAGCCAATTGTTTTCCAGAGAATCGTAGCTTTGAAGCCAGTTTAATTTTCGGCATACGTTTGAAATATTCTAAATCTGTCCTGCTTCCAGGAATTCCAGGTCTTAAAAGTTCTCCGGCCCTCTACCAGCGTCCAATCGCCCCCAATCTATAGGATGCAAGACAAGCAAAATCAGATTGTGCACACATGCATGCATTCTGTTTTGTCTTTGAAACATGACCCTCAGCCTTGCACAAAGTGTATGTTCGTGCGGCGAATGCATAAATATATACTAGCCTAAACATTTTTGTACAATACATCCAACATAAAAACGTCAGATCAAAATCACAGTAATTTCTGAAAAATTATACATTCGGGCATTTCATGTCTGTATCAATAGACTTTATTGTTTGTTGCACTTTTGCCACAATGGCCCTCCTTGTCATGTTTGCCTGTTTGGCATGGCAGGCGCACATGAAGTGTATACACATTGCGTTAACCCAATATGTAAATTATGCGTGAAGCGTGCCATTTGTGAACGGTTTAAACGAACTTTGCATGGTTGGAGTAACATGTTACGTTGGAAATTATCGTTAAAGAATTGAAATGACCTTTATTCGGTCGACTGGGTGGATTGTTGCATGAATAATAGGTAATTTCCTATTGTGGCACAGTCGGTCAATCATTAAAGTTTTTCTGAAGCTTGTAATAATTCGCTAACATGCATAAGTAAATTTAATTTTGACTTTGCAGAGACATCGGGATTGTCATACAAGTCGTGCTGAAACATCGTCTGATACAGGACTAGGTATTTTTACGCCAGTTTATATATCACTGAAATTTTTTTTCAAAATCCTTACTATGGAAATAGTATGGATCTAAAGTCCTGATTCCACGATGGCGAAATTCTTCGCGCGAAGTCGTGTTTGCGAAATATGGATTGCTGCACACGAGTGATTCTATTGAATTTGCACTCTTTTTTCGCTTTCGCAGTGAGTAGAACGGACTTCTACTCACTGGCGAAGCGAATTTTTTTCTCGTGAAGCCTAATTTATCTTTACTGCACATGCACGATTTCATTTCGTGCGAAATATTTCGCATTTCGCCGAGAAAAAAGCGCCTGTGGAATCAGGCCTTTAGGTGGAAATATAGTGTGGAAATCCAATTTTCATGCATATGGTTTTAGTGATGCAATCGCAAATTCCATAGTATGGGGATTTCGCTATTTTTTCGAGTGCATGGTGTTGATTTACATAGCCCGCGTGCAGGCCCAAGGGAGCAGGCTCAAGGGAACTTGATAGTGGGCCTGCAAGCAAGGCCCGGTATTTTGTACTTTCCGCGTTCGCCCACGAACGCGGCATTCTGATTGGCTGTACGTTTGCTGTTGGATTCTATAATTAGGTCAGTGATTCATCACAAAGGCTCTCGATAAGCTCAAAATTCGAAAATTGATCACTTTTTTCGATTATAAATGGAACAAGAACAGACTGTTTATTGTTTACTAGAAGGAAGAGATGTTTTTGCCGTTATGCCAATGGGGATTGCTTGTCGTGAGTTGTTGGAATAGCAACATTACGACTGGGGTAAACTATAGTAACCTTTACTTGAGTTTCATTAATTTCAAACAGATTTGATACGTTAATATATGTTCCTCAAGAAAATGATCTTTTGGTTGTTGTTGAGATGCAGTTGCATGTAAGCCTATTCGAAACACTTCAGTGCGATTTACAAGGCTTCGCTGAGAGAACGAAACACAAGACGGTATATTTAAATTGCCGTTTGAAACGAAACGATCTGGACTCTGAACGCTCTCTTCTTTTGTAGAGTTCTTTACCAAATGAAATAACTGAAATAAATTTCGTACTTTCCGCCGCCAACAAGAATTGCACACACGATCTGATAAGTGAGACAATTTATTTATAACAATGCCAACGGCGACAGCGAAACACACATTATAAATGCTAATGTGGTCGCACGACTTTCCTCACGATTTGAAGTTTGAGACTGGTTTTCTGTTGAAATTCGTCCTAGTTTGCCTGTTCCGATTTTAGTTGAAAATGAGCACTTGCAAATTTGGCAATTACTGACTGCGTTGCTTGCTTTTTTGGAGTTAAAACGCAGCCATTTACACATTGTTTATGTTCTGAATATGCAGAGAAAACCCCGCATCATTTTAATGCGAGTTTGTTTGTTAATATTTGGGTGCTGTCATTGGTTCTTTTTTGACAATTGACGCGCGAATGGGGCGTGTTATGAAAAGGGGCGTTTTACAAAATACCGGGCCTTGCTTGCAGGCCCACTATCAAGTTCCCTTGAGCCTGCTCCCTTGGGCCTGCACGCGGGCTAGATTTACATAGATTCCCTTGGCCGGCACGCGGCTTACAGGGGTGATTTTAATTTTCATTTCGGTTAAACGCCGTTTCACTTTTCATTTACGTCCAGTCACTTATTCCAATACATCTAAATCGTTTCCCCTATTTAAACATCGTGTTTAGGCCAGGATCACGTAACATCCCCTGAAAATTATTGATCTGCGATATTACTCGGTACCCCCGGGCATGGAAAACACGGAACAAGTTTAATAGTATAACTATCACTGATATAATTTTCATATATTTTTAATATAGGGATGACCCAATCTGATGACCAATTCCATAATCAGGTACATGTACAGAATACATTGTGTATAAACAGTCGCTCTCCTCCCAGTCTAGACCTATAGCTTTCTTTTTCCAAGGAAAGACCAGAGATTTTCGTAAATTTCATAATATTCGTAAGTTGCAGTTGCCCTCCGCCTGCCCCCTGTCTCGTACGCCTATATTAACACTTGAGAAAGCGGTTGCGTGCAAACCGTTGTTGCTGCCCAATCCTCAGCCATAAAAATTCGGGCAAACTTTCAACTGCCCCCTCCCCCCTCCTTCCAGAAAGCATCTGCTACGTACGCCTATGAGTGTTAACAGCAGAGTTTTCTATTAAAAACATATCTTCAAGCTTGGCCGTTTGTCGCAAGACTAAAATTAAAAATTGCAATCTAAAAAGATTGAAAATCAAATACATTGAAATTTCAGTCTTGAATTAAGACTGCATAGTTGCTCAGTAGACACAGAAAGTCAATTACATGCATATTTTGTATATATTCATGCAGTGTTACTGATATATTTTATGGCACATACTGTACGCGAGGTCTTCACAAAAAATACCATTGTGAGGCCTAACACACATTGATTCATAATTTCTAACATGAGTGCATGAATTTAATTTTAACTTTGCAGACACATGAGAATCATCGAGAGAGCCGTGGTATGTTATCAAGTGAACCATCTTTAGATACAGGAGGTATTTTTATGCAAATTTATTGTTTGTTTGCTGGAATGACTTTGATGTACTGAAATAAGTTACCAAAAACTGCATTGTTTTCCTAGTAGAAGATTTCGCAATAATCCAACAGACGAAATGTTTTGGCCGACACGAAAATTTTTTTAAGCTACGGGATCTCATGAATTTCAGTTTGATGAAACGTCGTTTCACGTTAATTTTTATTTCGGGTTATGCATGACTTATTCCAATATTTCAAAATCGTCCCACCCTATAAGTCCTATATGATTCTTATTCGGTGTATGCATGCGTGCATGTCTTTGAAAAAATAGACGGTCATTTCGCCATAAACTATGAAGAGGAATTTAGAAGTTAAACGAAACTTACCTGGAAGTTGAAGTTTGACTGGAATTCTATCCCATAAGATTAGTAACCAAGGACTGACATGAAGAACGAACGCAGGCTCACCGGGAGTGACATCACATTATTTGAAAGCAACGCACAGTGACCAAGCATAAACAGAACCAACAAGCAGTATCACCAGACTGACAACCCAGTAGGAGTGGGCGGGTGGGTTTGTCAGTCCTTGGTTAATAATCTTATGGGATAGAATTCCAGTCAAACTTCAACTTCCAGGTAAGTTTCGTTTAACTTCTAAATTCTATCCCATAAATCGTAACCTACGGACTGACATGAAGTCTTCAAAGCATGCGAGGTCGCTGTGAGTATAAAAATACCGACAATACAAACTTATGCATCTAGCTTATGCATCAATACCGACAATTTTAATCCATCTAGCTAAAGTTTGAGATCCAATAGCACAATGCGGTTTTATCGCTGCAACGAGTAAATTGACACTTTGTCGTAAATGTTTTGTCTTCTCAAGATACTCTTCTAAACATAAATATGGGCAAACATCAGGATCCAAAGTGTACCTAGGAACAATAACAGGTGGAACTGAATAATTTGGTCTGCTTTGTTTGATATGCTTATCAAGAACAAACACAAATTGAACACCTGATTGTATCATGCAGCCATTGTTAATATTGAGGTGTATTAAAGTTTGCTTCCGCTGAATAGTCACCAAAGCCAATAACATTGTTAACTTGTGACTAAGCTCTTTAAGACTTAAACCCCTGTTAGGGGTGAACGTTTTCAGATAAGCCAAAACTGTTTGGACATAGATAGCATAATGCTTATTGGCAGGTGGTTTCCGTTCAAATGCTCCTTTTAGGAAACGACAAACTATTGGGTGTTTCCCCACTGGAAAGTTACCAATAGAAAGAAAACATGATAACGCTGATCTGGCACTGTTAATACTAGAATATGATAAATGCTATTGTGTGTACAAGAATTCCAAAACTTGATTTAAAGTAGGGGAATGTGCAAGAATTTTCCTTTCACGACAGAATAAATTCCATTTTTTAAGATAACTCGCATACTGTTTTTGTGTAGAAGTTCGCCATGAACCGAGGAGTACACCGGTAACGTGATCAGAAAAGCCGATTAATGTCCAATACCCATGCAAGATGTCCGATGGAAAAATCAAAAGGCCATTGGACGTTCCATTTGTCAAATGGATCTCTAATTGTCCATTGGTCTTTCGCGTGTCCATTGGATCCAATGGACACGTGGAATTTCCATCGGACGTTTGCTTTTTCAGTTGGTCAATTACCATGTATTGGAATGACGTAATGAGAAGCACATGGACGTCACGTAGATACAAGGCCATTGAGATGCCAAACGAAAGTGTCCATTGAATCCAATGGATCCAATGGACCTGGAAATGTCCATTGGAATTTTGTTTGTCCATTGGATCCAATGGACAAGTGGAATTTCCATCGGACGTTTGCTTTTTCAGTTGGTCAATTACCATGTATTTGAATGACGTAATGACAAGCGCATGGACGTCATGTAGATACAAGGCCATTGAGATAGCCAAACGAAAGTGTCCATTGGATCCAATGGATCCAATGGACCTGGAAGTGTCCATTGGAATCTTGTTTGTCCACTGGATCCAATGGAAAAGTGGAATTTCCATCGGACGTTTGCTTTTTTAGTTGGTCAATTACCATGTATTGGAATGACGTAATGAGAAGCACATGGACGCCATGTAGATACAAGGCCATTGAGATAGCCAAACGAAAGTGTCCATTGGATCCAATGGATCCATTGGACACCGTGTTTTCCGTTGGAAAAATATTTGTCAGATGGATCAAATGGGCAAGTGATTTCGCGTGCGGGCATAATATTGCTACAGCAGTTAGCGAATAGTGGCTGCTAGCATATTGAAATATGCAATCATACTTGTTTTCACTATTTATTTTGCGTTCTTGTTAAAGTGTGTAAATCTAGATAATTAAAATTACCATGTGACTATTATTGCTACAGACATGTATAATTGAGGTTTAGGCAAAGGTTATTAGTATAAAACGTTCTGCTGCTTGGCCGTTTACTACATTTTACTGTAATACATGTCAAAAGCCACGCAATTCTATCCGACTGGTATTAAAGATTTTCTTTGCACTTTCGTTCGCGCGTACTGACTTTGGCTTAAAATACTTTGAAAATTTTAAAGATGTTATAGTCATAGACGCGAAAGCAGGATTCAAATGGGCAAGTGATTGATTCGTGCGGGCATAATAATCGCTGGAGCAGTTAGTGAATAGTGACTGCTAGCATATTGAAATATGTAATCATTCTTGTTTTCATTTATTTTTGGGTTCTTGTTAAGTTTTTATTTTTGTACTTGTATTTTTAGTGTAAATGTAGAGAATAAGAATTACCATGTGAGTACAGCTACAGAGTATATTGGGCAAAGGTTATCAGTTTAAATTTATAAACACAACAGCATGAAACATGAGGCCGCCGCGAAAATCTATCCGACCGCGACTAGGATTAAACATTTTCGGCGTTTCCATGCAGTATTGATATATAATTATGAAACATATATGTCGTGCGTAGTGACTTTGGCTCACGTTAAAAATACGTAGAAAAGATTTTAAAATGTTGGATTTGAACACAAGCTTTCGACTGTGGAAGAACTGTGAGGAAAACTGCACTGGCAGTCAATACTGGAAAGTTTGTATTGAAACATTTTTAATTCATTTCTTCTTGGTAACAGCAGCACTGACGAAACTGAGCAGTTTAATAGTAGCGACGGCGTTGGGAATGACCAAGGACTAGTTTCTACCAATTTTGACGCGATGTTAGATGAGATGTTATACGATTACGATCATAATTTGCATAAGTTTGGCATAGGAAACGAAGTGACCGTTATATAACACTACTGATATACTGATATGTTGTCATGGATTATGGTGAACATGTAAGATAGGAAGTATTCATATTTTGCCGACACATGCATGTATCATCATATGTTATTTCTCCATACCACCTTTTTTATCCTTTATTAAAGGACAGAAAAAATCCTTGGGTTCCTTGCAGCAGCTGCCACATAATTGCAAATTCAAATTATACTGTATACAAACCACATGTAATTAAAAAATTCAGTTATTATGGCCTTTACATAAATAACTAGACGGATGTATCGCTTTGACAGTTGACCTGAAATTCGAGTACGTTCCATATAACAGATTGTGTGCCGATGGAAAAGTAACAAAAGTGCAAGACGTCTTTCTGCGTGAAAAACTAATTAGTCTTTGTAAAAAGTCGTGGCAATTAATAAGTGCTTAATATACAAACAGCGAATAAAAAAAACATAAAGCCAAAAAAAATTTGTTTGAGAGGGTTGGATAATGATGAGGCTAATGTATCCGTGTCGAACATCAATTACCGCTGCCTTGAATGCATGCCGCCTGTTATGTTTGAGTTTTGGCGGAACTGCAGGGTGGAAAGTCGTGTTTCGCGCGTAAGAAATCTTGCGTAAAAGTCGTAATGAGTCGAAAAATGCCCTAAATTTGTGGTTTCGCTAAAAAGTAGCCGCCTGCAGCTCTCAGCCGGAATGGGGGCTGCTGAGCAGGCTAGCTAAAAAAAGCAACTTTAATTTGTGGAATAATTTCTGTTCAGTAAAAAGCATCATAAGTGAT